CTGTTAATTAGTGTCATAATTGGTATGAAATGCCACAAAACATTTATCATTCATGCAATGTTCAGTTATTATTGTTGTATTGGAATAATCTTGTTTATGCGTTTAAAAATACTCTATAGTTTATTTATAAGTTCAAAAATAAACCCAAGTCCCAAATAATTATAATAATATCTCATTAGTTATTAGCACGATTAAAGATAACTTTAATCGTGGTCGTTAGTCATTATTTATTATAGATATAAGTATTGGATTTCTGTTTCGCCATTTTTTTGTAATTTGGCGGTTGAATTTTAATTTTAATTAATTAATCCTAATTACTCATTAGATTAATCAACAGGTGTTAGAGAAAAGTACATTAATACCATAGATAATAAAGATGATACAATTGATACATTAATACACTTAGATCATATACTAGTATTCTAGTATAATATGATCTAAGTTAATACATTAATAAAAAAGTACATTTACTACAGGCTGGCCCTAAAACTGATATTAAATTATTATTTTGAACATTGACATTTTTATCGGTTGGTAATGTTGGTATGAGATTATTATTTTTTTTTCCCCTTATCATTTGTAAGAGAACGGCTTTTGGCCCTAAAAGATCTCGCAAATATGATTACCTACCGGCTACCACCTATTTAGCCCATCCCCCCACTCCCTTTGTATTTGAATAATTAGGCTGGAGCTTTCTAATATTATTGTTTTCCACCCACCAATCTAGCAATTCGAAATTATTTTGACTTAACTTAAACCTCGTTAATATGTTATTCGAAAGTCGGCAAGCGAATGTATACACATTGAGGTACGATAGTTCATTATACGTAATATTATGTATACAAAATTAATATAGACTAAAAACAAAATATCAGGGAAACGGGTTTTTTTATATATTAGTCACTTTCGATGCGGCTAACTTGACAACAGCGTAATTATAATTTACAATAAAATACGATTAGACAATAATAGACTATATTGGACGGAGGTGTAACAAAAATCTTCACAATGAAACACTCGAGTTATGTTGTTATAATAGTTATAATTTCGAGAGAACTGAACTTTGTCCTCGGAGTGATATTAAAACTTTTACTACGAATTGTAATTATAGAGAGCATATAGCAGTTAAACAATAACATCTGCAATTGACCTTATTGGATAGAACTTACTCACGAAGGTATTAGGTTACATGGTTTTTAAAACGTTTAAATCAAAACAAGGAGGGACTTACACAGTTCATGAATTATAAGTTGTAAATATCAAAGTTAAAATGGATATTTTTGTAACTGAATATTTTTTAAAATAACTCATATTAAATATATGCAATATAATGCAATACTGTGTTAGCAGCTGTGAGTGTAATTAAAATGTGGCAACAAAAATTTGCAGGAACTAAAGATTTACCAATAAATGATTTCGACACTCTTTAAAAATGTATAACAATTCTCCTTTCTATTTTCAAACTTCTACAGATTTTAGCAGCCCGCCATATGTTACAACTACTATCAGTGAACTATCTATTTTGCGATACATGACGTGTGAAAGTTGATTCAATGGTTTGCCAATGATGAATATACAGAGTGATATAATGATAGACCCCTATGATGACCTAAATAAACTTGCGACCAAAACAAGAAAAATTCGGTTAATGTATTGTAGTTAAAATATTGTTTGACTTTTTAAATGTTTTATATAAAGTATAAAAAAAAAATAACCTATTGTATAGATCTAAATAGTAACACCCCCCCCCCCCTCATTGAAAAATCCTGGCTACGATACTGGAGATTTAAAATCACTAAAATGACTCTACACGAAACCATTAATAATTATAATAAAAGGAAAAAAATATTTCTTACGTCTATGTATTTTAATATATTCATAATAATATGTACAATATAGAGTACGAGTGGTTTTCACCTTACGCGAGTTTTATAAAGAGTGGATCTCAAGTACGCATAGATCTGACGAGTATAACCCTCACTCATGTCACCAGAGTACCTACGCAGCCGTGTGCTTTCCGTCTCGGCATTCCACAATGTTAGTGAACGATTATTTTACCGTGTACTAGGTAATGTCTTATGAAAAATGTTATTTTAAACTTTAAGAACTGCAAATACGGTCGTGTAATAATATAAAAATGAAAATGTAAAAATATAATTTAATGTTATGCGTATGTTCAGTGGGGTAGGTAGGATTTTAAAATGGGGAGGGGGGGGCAAATCCAAAATACTAAAAAAACAAAATCAACAATTAACAATAACAGTTCATATTTTTATTTTATTATAATTAAATTAAAATTTAACTTAATTTTGATCAATGAGATTTTGACGAAAAAACTTTGATTACTTCTTCTTCTGTTATTTTTTTGGATTTGTTAATCTTTGCCATACCTAACCCATTAATAAGTCTCTCTTCGTTCATTGTTGATCGTAAATAATCCTTCAATCATTTAAGAGTTGAAAATGTGCGTTCCGGTGTCTATGATGTAACCGGTGAAGTTGAAAATAATTGTAGTAGTAATTTTACATTGGTTAATACATTCGTACAATTTGCTCCGGGAGGAAATATTGTGGTATTACAGTGGTGGCCCACCAGTCACTACAATAATAATATTAAGAACCGATTTGATAAAAACTGATAAGAAAAAAAAATTACAATCAAAGAAATTGATGAGGATTAAGAGCAAAAGCGAATTCAACGAATTTTTATACGTATTTATTTCATACGTACAATATAATAAATTATGCAAAAACATTGATACGGCCAATGGGGGGGGGGGCATGGCTATCCGCCCCCCCCATCCTTGGATACGCCACTGCGTATGTTATAATACTTCTATCGTTTAAGAGGGGAAAAAAATAATAACCTTTATCCGAGATATTATTGTCTGCTGCTTAAAACAGAATCACCCCGTATACATAAATATATTTTTATATTATAATAATGGGATGCCCGCGTATATTATAATGATCGTCATAGAAAAACGCCGAAGGGGATGATATCGAATTGTGTGCGGCGAGTATGTGGAGCCCGTAGGGGTGGAGTGACGAGTACTTCCGAGCACGATGACACTATTTATTGTTTTCGATGGACCATTGTCTGCGACTGTGTGTCGGAGTGTGTATCGGATCTGTTCATAATATTATACTCACGAGCCTGCAAATAGCCCGCGACCGCTCCGTAAGGGGTTGGGGTGCAGGGCAAGTCGAGTACCTGCGTATAATGCGTTTGTTATACATAATATTATGTAGTTATGGGTTGGTATATACCGGGTGATTCGCTATAACCACGCTCCACCGTTATTTTTAACTTATTGATGGAAAAAATTACAGTCTTTTTAAAAATATAACAATATTGTTATGGCAAAATATGCGCTGTGAGAATAATATGACAGTTCAAACGATTAACGCATACGCACGTTTCCCCAATTTTGATTAAGGAAAGAGGCCCGTTGAGGAGTTTTGCATCCACATTAATAGAATTTTACATCACTTAATTGAAAATGTACTAAACGTTTTGGAATTTTTTCGTATAGTGTATTCTGCACTATTAAACACAATATTTTCATATACCTACTTAGAATTTTTTATGAACAATATGCACCTATAATTTAAGGATTGTCCTATGATTTATAAGATAATATATGTGGACTATGAAACATATACCTTCATAAAATATAAAATAGATGCAATATTTAGTGTAGTCATAGCTCCCTTATATTATATTCCAAATCTATTATTATTTACTATATTATCTTTAGTCCATCAAGTATAATAACTCAAAAACTACATGTTCAATTTTGATAAATCAACATTTTCAAAAACATCATCCGACAGTAAAAAAGACAAACGACAATAAAAAATTTAAGAAAAGTTTGTATTGCAACATACAACTATTTAATTTGCATACAAATATTGTAATTTAAAGTATCGTATAATTAAAGGATATAAATTAATGTTTCCTAACCAGGGACGTGTAAATATTGATGGGGATCAGCCCAAGTAGTCATCATGAAGTAAAATTTGTATTTATTTAATTATTTTTATTTTACAATGCAAGGAAAAATTAAAAAATAATAACGGCCAGTTATCGGGTATCGATAAAGATCACAAGTGATTAGCCTCTGAACACTCATAATCTTCGCACTGGGTACTTCATCGTTTTATGCGGCCACGACATCCGTAAATTTATTTGTTTACAATTTTTAATAAGGAAGCGCGATATTATTGAAAATCTACAAAGGTGACGTAGAATAGAAGAGGTTGGGAACCACTGACATAAATGGAGGTGACCATATAGTTTGTAAATCACGCTGTGTAGTTGGTCTTGGTATACACGTATTGTACCTACGATACACACACAATATCTGTACAGGTAGATGGTACCTATATGGCTATATTATTCTATTATAATGCAGCTCAATACTTTTTTTTTTTTATTTATTATAATATGCACTTTTATTCATACACGGGCCGTCGACTTTGTATATTGTGTAGGTTGTGTATATAATAATATAGTGTATATGCGCTAGAAAAGTTTTGCATTTTATCTCGTCAAACTGTGACGCTCGGGGATTGTCCAACACCATCGACTACTCTCTCTTTATTTTTATTTTTTATATTTTTATATTTTACTTCGTCAACGGCCGTGTTAACTATACACAAACTCTTCCCTCCACTACGTTATATTTTTACTTCGCAACCCTATATACATATTTAACAAGTCGTCCGAAAGCCTTTTCGCTTGGCCGCAATAACCTAAAAACTTAACATTCCAAAAAGAAAGAGAAAACTCTCACACACACACACACACACACACACACACACACACACACACACACACAGAGTATTACTGTACATACGATGCGAACGAGCCATACCGGTACTCTGCGGGCGTACGCGTCTTGCGGGAATAGAGTGTCACCACGACTCGAATGAATTTGAATCGTATTTTGTAAACTTTTATTTTTATTTTCCAAAACTTTTTTGTTTTCCAGACAAATGAACGGCACACGAGCTTTGATGACGCTGATTTTAATGATAACTGCCAACTCGGTGCCGTCGTGGACATGCCCTTCGGACTGTATCTGTTTATCGCACACGCAAGTAAATAATAATAATACATAATAATAATATTATAATAGATTATCATGCGGAAATTCGTCGGTCGTGCGGGATTCTAGCCATATTATGTTATACCAAAATATTGTGCACTATTATTATTATTATTATTGTATAATCTCCCGTTTAAAATTTGGATTTATTCCAACTACTGAACTGGACACCGCTGATATATTAAAATTCGCTATTGTATATTTCACGCGAGGCTCCCGTTGTGCACAAATATCGTGCTATTATATTACACGTCCCCGTGTGCTTACCGAATCAATTACGGTAACTGCTTTACGTGGAATATGTCAGGCGGGGCAAGGGGTTTTTTTTTTTTTATTTCACAAAGGTTTTTGTATAGTGGTAGATAGGAGATTTTTTATTTTGCGTTGAAATACGAAAAGGTAAGCGGACCCGTTTCTAGAAATCGTATATTCGATTATATTTTATTTTCGAAAAAATTTTATATCGTCGGATGTTGTTTACGCATTCGTTTATTCGATCGACGACGAGAAATATTCCGTGGATAATAAATATTAGTGATGGGCAACCAAAATATTATGTATAAAACAATAGCGTTATCGAAAATTTGTCACGATATCGATATCGTATCGAATTTTGGATAGTGTTGCCCATCACTAATAAATATATATACATCGATTATATTACGTAAGGTCATCAGTACAACAGGAATGTAAGAAGTCCCCAGCAAGGTAAACAAAGTTTTCATGTAATTATGTATATTGTATACCTACGTATAATATTTTTTTCTCAATAACTTAGTCAACCGAGAAAAAAGTGATGGAGATTAAAATATAGTTCATCATATTATAGTTATTCAGTTATATACTTAACTCGGTTATAATAATATTATACAAGTTCAATATTTATTTTTTGTAATTAGATCATATAGAATATACATTTTTTAACATTCTTTAAATGTAAATTCAGATCAATTATATTGGTTTTACACAGATATTTTTTTCAGTAGAAATTTCAACATCATAAATAATACAGGCGGTAATTCTTTCTGTGACGTTGCGACAATACTTTCCATTTCGTGTACCTAATACGGTGAAACTTCCATACTACGATGTCTCACGATTAACAAAATATAAATCGTATTGATAATTCCGTTAAAAAGTTAAATACATTTTGTTGTAATTTGGTAAAATGTCCAATCGAAATTATGTAAAAATACTATGGGTACATCATTTGGTTGCCTGCTGACGTTTAAAAGATGTGACTTCTACCATGTTTTCCGATCACTGGGAACGCGAGGACAGTTTTTTTTAAAAATTAATTCATTATAATGTATATAAGAAGTTTTGATGATATATTATGCAAACTATTGAAATAAATCTTAAATGTTCGTATAATCGTATTGATTCAGAGTACCAATAATTCGAGCAAAACGACTATGTGCATCTGAGGTGTAGGTAAAAGCTAGTTAAATAAATTACACTTTATTAGTTCTTAGTTTTATTCTATTTGGCATATTTTTATAGTCAAGTTTTATGATTTAAAGTGTATATGAATACAATACTAAAAATCTCTAAATCTTAATGTGTAGTACAGTGAAACTTCCATTTAACAAAATGTTCTGTTTAACGAAATATTTTGGAGAACAAAACCAAAATAGAATCAAATGTACTAATTTATTATATTTAACAAAATTAATATATTATAGTATATTATTATTATCAGTGTGCTGCAGTTTGTATTTTAATGTTGTCAACCACGTCGCCAATATGATCACTCTGAGTGGAAGATGGGACTGCAGCGATTTACTAATAAGTAATAACTAATAACACACACACGCACAAAAAATTGTAATTGGTTTTAATATTTGTAAATGCTCTGTCTGCGAGTTCTAATATACCTTTCCCTCATTCGATCGAGAGTGTGACTCTAATAAATATAATTTAAGAGATTAGTTAATAAAAACAATAAATAATATTTACGCATAGCATACGCATTATACGTATACAATAGGTACCTTAGCTGTTACCTATTTTTTTTAGCGGTACCTAGATCGAATAGCACGAATAAGAGTTTTCGAGTTTTCGGATAGTCAGTTTATAGATTTATAATTATATTTAATGTGTAAATTGTATACTCTATTTGTCGTGTCTGCGTTATATTGTGAAGAATTTATTTAGATTTTAGACAACAGTTGTTTCTGGCGTTACTATGTGTATAATATGTATTATGTGTACCGACTTGATAGTACATTTTATTATGCATTTACTATAAATTATTATGACCGATGGACCAATAGGGCTTGTTTATTATTATTGTCAAGCAACTTATAACTATGGTTTTTAATAAATCTAATAACATTTATTAACATATTATGTTAAACACAAAATTAACTATTATACCTATTATGTCCTAAATAGGCATAGGTACACATACAATACTCACCCACATTACTCATTATTTATTTATTTATTTGCCCGCCGATCCTGATCACTGAAGCTGCTCATTGAGCGGTTTACGTCACCTCGCAGATATTGTGGTCAGTGCTTATAGTGGCAGTTGGCTCGCAGTGACAGTAGTTGGCTAAAGGTCGCGTGTTAAAGCATGAGATATTATTACAATATACACTCTCGCCCTGAACATTTTTATTTGAAGAGGATTCGATTTGAAAATTAACAATTCACGAATAAACTAAGATTTTTCTGACGAGAATTATATTATTTCGAAATAATATAAGTTTACAACGAAATAAATTATATACTGACTATACTGTAACAATAAATAATATTCAAACTGTAATAGGTATTATATTATAAATACATTATTATTATATTACAATTATTACAATATAATATTACCTATGCAATGAGAAAAATAATATTAAAAATAATACATTTGTATTTAAATAGAAGCTTTTTGCAAACTCAGGTATAAGCACAGAAAAGTATAAAATATGTAAGGTTATAATTATTGTTCATTACTTATACCTATCTACTTCTATCTAAACTTAAAAACGAAAAGTCATAAAATAAATATTTAAAATACGATTTACGAATAAAAATAGAAAAACTTTTTCTATTTCCAAATCCCAATAAACTAGTGTATAGGTAATAGGTACGTAAATATAATAAAATAATATAATAGTTATCATGTAATCACTTGGAGATCACCTACATATTTAATATTAATATATGCGTCAGGCCACAAACTGTTTGAGCAGCATAATATCCTGAAAATCAGCAGAGAGCTCTCAAGGTTTGCGCTCGGCTGCATTGACTTATAGTAGCCGGCGGCGGGGAACTGGAGGTAAGATAAAATGTATGGAATACGTAGTATATTATATTACCTATACAAGGTGATTTGTTTTGTTATACCTTAACTAATATGATAATTCTATCGTGGGTTGGATTGGAGACAATTTAGTGAACTAAATGACCCAAGCGTAATAATTTGGACAGCGCGAGGTATGTATTTGTTTATTTAAAACTCAGTACCTAGCATAGTACTATCCCCTCCCCCATCCCTGGGCCCAATCAACATAATATTATACCTTTATTAATTGTTATTAGCTTAAGAACATATTTTGTTGACCGCAATATAATTTTTCATTTCAATAAAGTAACCGATCATAATATTATTATCTCTAATTGTTTTAATTCTTTAATCTTGGTTGTAATTCATCAACTGACATTATACAGTTAACAGTTATTTTCATCACTAATAAATTAATCTGAATGGGCGGATGTCTATTTGCCTTGCAACATTAAATATAATACTTTCAAACCACTGCCTCTGGACGGTAGTGATATTTTGACTTATGGCGCCTACACTAACTAACTTCGTAGCGTGACCATAGACCAGAGGACTTCAACTGGAAAAAAATTCTAGAGGGGTACTAATGTTTCTATGATTTAGTTTTAAGAATTCCATGCATACATTTATGTATAATGTCTAAATATGTATAATATGTAATGTATGAACAGTGATTGTGTAAGCATACTCATTCCACTTTTAACTCTGAATAATGTTGATCCTAAATATATGTGTTAAAGGGGACGCTTTTGATTTTTAACCATCGCCAGAGGCAGGAGGCTGAGTCCCCCTCCCCCCCACATTAATCCCAGCAGCATAGACGTATATACCTAAACTATATGGTCCTTGTAGTTAAGTAACAGGCTTGTACTCGTGTACCATCTAACAGACGGAATAGCTATGAAGAGTAAATAGTGAATGGGACATTGGAACCTTAATACCGTATTCTATCTGTGTGTGTAAGGAGCTCAATCAGCAGTGGCAGTGGTTGGGATTGTCGGGCAAACGTTTTAGAATATTGATGAGCTACGTGGCTAAATTTAGTGTATATGTCGAGTATTTCTGTACACCTATGTATGCAGGTGTTTGTGAGTAATCTTGTAGTCTACATTAAAAATAGAAACATATTTGTTGCTATTTCCTATTTGTTAAATATATTTAACAATATGCTAATAAATTATACACAAATAAATATAATTAGACACTTAGGTATATTAAGAACCATATAGTTAAGTGCTAGCTGCTTAACGATATTATGTATTAAACAAGCCCTTCCTGCCCATTTATGTATCATTTATATAAATGCATCATGAAATAATATTTACAATGAATTAAGTACTTAATAATAATCAGTCATTATAATAAATACCTACATAATAAAATGTACCTATTGCCGAATCGGCAAGAATATTTATTTATTTCAGTATAATTCAATAACACCATAATACAATATAATAGTCATCCATACGCATAGTATGGCCAGAAACAACTTTTGCTTAAAATCTAAATAAATTCTTCACATAACACAGATAAAATATACAATTTACACATTTGTGACATATTAAATATAATTTTAAATCATTCGATCACTCGGGTGTCAGATAAATAATAAAATATAATGAACTGACTATTGGACTCGTATAAGTAGATGCGTGATATCGTTAATATTAAGTAACAGGTAGGTATTATATTATTAGTATAGCAATACTAGAGTCGTAACGCCATGCACACGTCATTTCTATTGCATTTATTGATTTATTGTACAAATTATAATGGCAGTATAGGCGTTGCGTTCTCGACGGATTATATAGATGTGATATACATACAGAACAATTACAAAAATATTAAAACTAATTTCAGTTGTGTGTATGTGTACTGGTGTCGTTTTGGTCTGTGAAAATGTAATATAACCGGAGAGATAATCGTTGAGTACAGTATTATAATACAAACTGCACACAGATGATGATAATAATAATAATAACAATAACAATAATATATCATAAAATAGTGTCGTGATCGGGCTAGACATTGGCACAGACACTACAGCCTATTGCAGACTTCAAGGAGAAAAATGTAGAATATCTATATCAGGGGTCGGCAATAGGCGGCCCGAGGGCCAAATCCGGCCCGTGGAGGGAAATATCTGGACCACCATGAATATTTTTTTTAGTGCTGTTTTCTGCACATTATAGATATTTGATCTATTTTTATGTTGTATTTTGGCTCCACATATACATACTTCGTTCTCCAAAATGACCTTTTCAAAGAATAAAGTATATATCGTTATTATTAAAGATAAACCGATATCCACCTTGAAAACACTGCGCATAGTTGTTGTTCTCCATTTCTCCAAGATTACCAAATTAAAGAAAAAACTGACTTGTATTCTATTATTATATTGAATAATTTGCTTTAAACAGCTTGAACTGTATTTTTAACACAAAAATAAACACATTAGGTAGGTATATTAATTGATAGGTACTTAAGTTTTATCGGGCCCCTGAACATTTTTTGTTCAAATTATCTGGACCGCCATATAATTTAATTGCCGACTCCTGTCCTATATAATATACGTGTTATGATTTATACATTTTAACTGTATTGACTATCCGAAATATAAAATAAATAATATTTACATTTTATTTGTTGAACAGGATAAAATTAAGAACTAATAAAAATTAATTTATGTAGAACACTTGAAACAATTAGCTATCACCTAAGGTTACACTAGCTATTACGCACATTCGTTCTGCTGGAATTATGGATAGGTAGTCAGGAACTCTGATCCAATACGAACTACCTTTATAATGTGCATAAAAAATAACCAAAACTTCCGATTAGCGAAAAATGTGTTAAAGACACAATATTGTCTATACGCGCGCCGTTCCGTTTCAGATACTCTGCAACTCCGGACACCTGACGTTCGTGCCTCTGCGCGACCTACCCAAGGCCGTCGAACACCTGTCGATGACCAAAAATAACCTGACTTACCTGCCCACCGACGCTTTCACCGGTCTCCGGCACTTGAGGAAGCTGACGTTGGACACCAACTGCATACGCCGGGTGGATAGGTTCGCTTTCCGCGGGCTTAGCAGGCTCCGGGAACTTTCCATCCAGCACACTCCGCTCGAGTCGCTCGAGAAGTTTTCGTTCGCCGGCCTCCAGAACGTGACGGCCATTCTGTTGGGGTACAACCAGATAAGCGTCATACACGAGTTCGCGTTTGCCGGCACCGCCAACATCAGGCTCATACTGCTCAACAACAATCCGTTGCACACGGTGAGAATCCTTAGACCGGCTGTCTGTAGACAATAATTGACTTTAGACTGCACAGATATAAATATATAATGACTAAGATTAAATATTTAATGCTATATTTAATGCTATGCTATAACGTAGACGTATATAGTGATTTATCGACGAGATGAATAATTATAGTTTCGTTTAAGCAGGATGAATAAAAGATGAAAGATGAAAAAGATGGGTTTTTACTAATATGATTTGAATTTACCAGGAAAAAGGACGAAATCTTACTGATCGTATGAAAAATATTTTAAACTTGTTTGAATATTTAATAAAATGAAACCTCAATGTTTAAATTTTCAATTCTAATTATAAAAAAATCAAAAAAAAAAAACTAACCACTGTAAAACTACTGTAAATGCATACAATTTGATATTAATATTATCCAATGTTAAGAAAATAAAGCACTTCACGTTGCAAGTATACCCTAGAGAAAAATGCAATACTTACTGTAACTATTAAACCAACAAAAGCACTCAACCAACCTCCGAGTAAAAAAACGCTGAGCTTAAAAAAAAAACTGCTCTAAAAGTTGTGATATCATTTTATAGCTATGCCTTTGAACTATAGATATCATTTATGTTAAATGCTAAATAATTGACTTTAAAACCAACCCTTGATTTATAATACAGTGCATACTTCAATGATAGTAGACTATAATTATTGTTAGTATTATGTAGGTACTCATTATGCTATAGGTTGCCAAGCCAAGTTCAATTATTTAGCAGACTGTTTTAGTATAAATTATATCTATAATTCAAAGACATAGATACAAAATTATATCACAACTTTTAGATCATTTTCTTTTTATGCTTGGCTTGACGCTGAAGGGTCGTTGGATATTAATATAATACTGTTTTATTATTTATTATTATTATAATTATTATTCAAACTTCATTATGTGTATAGGATTTTGAAATTTATTCATATACCTGATAAGTACGTTGTGTAGTAATAACATAGTCTCTTGATATACTATAGTTTTATTGCTCCATTTTCAGTGTCTCTTAAGGGGGCTCCAGTTGGTTTTTTCAAAAGTCAAACTAATGTAGACTTGACCAATCTAAACATAAATTTCGTTTATTTTAATATTTTAAATATAATTAAATTCAGTATCATAGAATAAATCTTAAGGGGGTTGCAGTTTTGTTTAATGGGTTTAAATTTTTAAAACCCATTTGTATTGGTGACCAAATTTACTATACTCTATTCAGGATAAGAGCTGTTCCTGGTGGCAACCGGTTTTCGCCCTGTGGCGGTAAGATGCATTTGCCACTAATTAAACCTCCAGGTTCAGCATTCAGAACGAAGCCATACCCATGTGCACAAGTCTGCTACCCGGTACCAATCTTATCCTGAATAGAGGTTTCCAACTAGGTGATTTTGAATATCTATTTTTTCAGCTGTGATATCCATGAATAAAATATGATAATATTGTATTTATATTAACACATTAATATGCATTATGACAATAACAATTATTGGAATATTAAAATCCCCTGGATGAATCAGTCATGATCCGTTTTCAAAATTAAAATCGTTCAAACCAAATTCCTCCAGTTTTGTCTAGATTTTTAGTCTAAAAATCACTTTTTTTCATTGATTGAAGCCCCCTTATAAGAGTTAAAACGTTTTATATTTTGTCTAAAGAATTTAAACAATAACGTGAATCGTTATGAAAATTCAACGTCTTGGATAGAAAATTGATCTCCATCACTTATCATAGGTCAATTTTCCGGTGTGTCGTATAATTATATTATTAGGTAGGTATGCTATTTTCCCATTAATGAGATGAAAGATAAAAAAAATCAAAATAATGTGTCATTATTTCAATTATCGTATTGTAAAATTCTATGTGCCTGCTTGTACCTGGTATATAGGTATCAGCCAATGCATTTTCCGGTCTAACCAACGTTGAACACCTCATCCTGCCGTCGGGCATCCAGCAGCTACAGCCCGATGCGTTCAACGGGCTGGACTCGGTGGGCCTGCTGAAGCTGTCCTTCATGGACCTGAAGTCGCTGAAGCCGCACACATTCCGTGGTCTCAGCCACGTGCACGTGTTGTCAATCCAGGACTCAGACCTGGGCGTAATCAGGGCGGACGCGTTTACGGGCCTAGCGCACGTCGGCAGTCTCAACCTGTTGAACAACAAGATTGACGCTGTGCAGAGCCTGACCGTGACCCGGGAAAACCGCATCCGGCACTTCCGGTTCAACGGCAACCACGTGCTGGACAGCCCACGGAGGGGCACGTTCTCCGGGCTCGCTTCCGCTGCCTCCGACGGGTTCACCGTGGTCGGCAACCACTTCCCGTGCGACTGTCACCTGTTCCGGTTCCTGGACGGCCACCCGTTCGGCAACGCGTCCCGAGACCTCTTCACCGGCAAGAACTATTGCATTTCGCCACTGGAGCTCAATGGACAGCTCGTCGCCGTCGTCAATCCCGCGGTCGTTGACAAGTGCTTGCAGACGTCGGTGGCCGCCCCGCCGAGGACTCAAGCCGGCGTTACCACGACTGCGGTCCTGGTTGCAGCGGTGGTCCTCGCCTCGACCGGTTCGTTCTTGCACGACTTGGCGGTGTGATGCAGTCGAAGGACCGTCCTAAACCATCGCCGTATATTACAGTCAAAAACTGTTGATATATTTTATTTATATAATATCATTATAAATATTGTTATCACTTAGACTTATCGTCGTCCAGTGCCAACTGCTAAAGCCAAAAGAATCTTTTTTTAAATATAATATTGTGTATAATTATCAGGCGATCCTCAAGAGTTGCGTTTAACACCGTCGGGTGTAGTGTACCTACACATCATGTGGTTTCGAGTGAATATGGATCGATAACTATTTAGGTAGGTAATGTTTTTTTTTCTCATCAATGCCATTATTTATTATTTCAATGTGTAAATAATAATGATAATATATTGCAGTCACGTGTTTATATTTTGATTGAGTGTTTAGGACAAATGTATTTTCGTCACATATCAGTTTACATATCCTCGAAGAAAATCTTTTTTCTATAAATCTAAACATAACTTACGGACTTTGATCTAAGTACATTTTAGTTACATTTTTGAAGCGTTCGATATATTGTTAGTTATATTGTAAACATTATTATTTTCATGTTTTTCAAATTAATTTCAAACTGAAATATGTTTTTGATTACCAAAATATTATTCATCATGTCTTTATTGAGCATCGTGTAATCCAATATTATGGTTTCCACGAAAAGTTTAATATTTGGAGTCTACAAAATGGTATTAAATAGATTGTATTTTACTTGTTTTTAAATAATTATTCTCATTTCAGATCAAAAGGCGAAGTTTAATATTAACTATTAAGGATAGATGTTTATTATATTTTTTCCACGAAAAGTGTTAAATTGTTATTATTTATTAGTATCATTACATTCTTTTTTACTGCAATATTTTGTGATAATAAAAAAAAAAATATTTTCTTCTTTGTAGTTTATTTTAATCAATGAAAGTAGCAAATATAAAAATTTATAGTAATTATACTGTAATTTCCGTAAGCTATCCGTAAGCTATCGTCATAATTCGTTATAATATATGTTATTATCATTTTAGCATAAAACATAATATATTATAGCATTATTACATTTATATATTATACTCGAGTATCATAATGTTATTTATTATTACGCATATGAAAAAAATAAATAGTTATGTTATAATTATAACTGTCAAATCCGATGTAACTATATTGTTTAATTTATACATTATAGTGACATAATACATAATAAAAAAATCCTCTCACTATAAATCAGCGAAATATGTATATTATACAGAATGTATCACAAATATCTGACGATTTTTAATTAAAATATCGTAAAACTTATTGTGATTCTCCCCGTATATTAAAAAATATATATTATTATTATTACTACCTATCATTATTGTTACCTATTATAATTATTATAATAAATTCAAGACGATTGTAAATATTTAAATGTACTCTATACTATCACGTCTGTAGCACCATATTCGTACCCAATTATACTATCGATATTCAATAATAATAGCAACAACAACAACAACAACAACAGTGATAAAAGCCCTCGAGATTTTTGATTACAAACACTCTGTTGGACAGCAAACAAGTGTTTGTGGAACGTCATCCGGAACCAAGACTTACAAATATTTAATCTGTTTACGAGGGGCAAGTTCCGCGGGCTGAATTCCGATACGATATTATCATTATTATACACAGCGGTGACCGTTAATTAACTGAAAGAGGGTTATGCAAAGTGTTGACCATTGCAAGGTTTGTTAATTACTGTACACCGGCGACAGCACGACCGTGTCCTGCGAATGTTAAACGTACGACTGTGGCGACTAAACAATATACTAACTACACGGTAGGTACGGGAGACGACGGCTGGATCGAGTCCGAATACATTATACAGGTACGCGTACAACACGTATAATATGCGTAGGGCCCAAACTATACTTACGTCGTAAATTATTATTATACCCCCCCACCCCCTCACACTAAAAACAACTGTAGAGATCGCGCCCTATGATGGAAACGCGTTGATCTCAATACACAATTAATTGCTACGCACCACCTATAATACCGTTTCGAAATGTCACGAGTATACCTACATGATATTTTATAAGCTTTTTAAAAGCGCCAAGCACACTTTCGACTTAAAAAAATACCAGTATTTAACTTTTAAATACCTACCTATACATTGTAGGTATTTGTTCATTTTTCTTATATACAGAAGGTTGCCCAAATAAAAAATTGATTGAAACAATTAAATTTAAATTAATTACTTCTCTATTCCCCAATCTCGTATAAAATAATTATTTTGTACAGACATTATTGAATTAAGTCATCGATATGCACATATAGTATGGGAGACGACCGTGACGGCTCAATGGCGTCCGACTATACTATACGAGTAGGACGTAGGTACACTGCGCAGGGCACATACTATGCTCTCGTCTTAAATTATTCTACCCAGAAGGTAAGTCGTGACTGAATAAAAAAAAAGACGATTCAGAAAAGGTCATAGGTGCTATGAGTCCCAACGTGCCATTGTTTTACCTAGTTACATGCCTATTGACCTATCGATGACTACGATCGATATCATAATTATTAATTGATTCATATAATGATGTATTATTATATGCAATAGTTTTAATAAATGCCAAAATGTCAACTCTTAAATAATATGACAATTATAATAGTATCAATCATAAACCGTATTTCCAATATAATATAACAAAGAACACACAGACACACTATAATGATAACTATATAGTACAATAATTGTCATAAAAAGTAGGTAGGTACCTATATATAGTTCATAATATGATACGAATCTTAGTAGTACATAAACAATAGTCCAATACACAACTAACAGTACCTAACTTAAATAGGTGGGTATTAGTTAACATTAAAATATATTTCCTTAGTTATCTAAACTTAAATGTTATAATAATAAATTGTAATAAACGGTAATCAAAATAAATAATTATATTTAAATGATAAACTATCATACAAAAGAGTTATACCAAGGGGACATCAATATCAAAACAATTAATATAATTAGTTGCTATTACTTATTCACAAGACCGAAAACAAATGGAATTTAAATAATATAAAATAATTTAAAAAACATTTTTAAACATATAATGTAAAAAAACATTTTTTAAACACAAAATGTTTAATTTCTATAGTTTGATACATGTTGAAATCAAATGTTTTTAAACAAAATGTTTAAAACTGCTACGGGTCACAATGTAAAAGATATGATTTTAATAAAATCCAAGGATGGATAATTCATTTTCTACTAAATATGTTCTATTTGATTCTCAAAAATTATTTAACTTATACATTTTATATTTCTACAGTCTAGAACAATGCGATTGTCGACTTTCGAAACTCAATCGAAGTCCATAATTTATATTATATTTTGTTACTGCTAATTCACGTCCTGCTTTTGAATGCGTATTACCTGTTTAGTTACTTACCTCATTTTGGAAACTCATGTAGTATGCAGCCGGAGCACAGGTATATTATGTTGGCAGGTAGGTTGCGCGTTTGTTTCGAAAAGACCCTCAAGGGTAAACAGTTTGGTGGTTTTTTTTTATCATTATTATTGCTCTTTCTTTTTCTCCACTCCTTTTGTGTATCATACTATCATGTACTTGAAATGTTTCGCTTTTTTCCCATCGTTTTCGTTTTGTTCGCATATTTATTTTTTATTTAATCCCATCGGCTTGATATCTAATTATCCATTACCGCGCGAGCCCCGTCCGATCGACGAGAGAAGTATGAAAAGAAACGCTTCACGAAAGAAACCGACAGCGCCACCGCCGCAACCACCGACTATATTATATTAATAAATTATTTTTCTTCGCGTGTTTTCTATATTTTAATACCAAACATGGATGTTTCTTCCCCGAGTTAAAAAATATAATTTACCACGTTATCGGTGGTTTTGATTTGACCGGGAAATGATGATAGGTTATTAATTATTTAAACAAATATCACAAATACTAATCATCGGCTGCGTCAATCATTTTGAAATACTAACAAATTAATTAATTATCAACGATTTGAATATTTTATTTCTTTAATTTAAAACGGACCGAGAAATAAACCACGTCACAATTTAATACAGTTTGTTTGTTTTAATTTAATTTTTCAGTTATTGAATATTATACGAATGCAAAAAAGTGAAATTAGTTACGATGTCAACTAGTTGAGTTTCATACTTTCATATCCGTTCCTAGTTGAAAACTATATATGATTTTTTCCAAACAATTGAAAACAAGACTCATTAGCATATAACTTTTTTTATGAAAAGAGCGAAATTCCAGAAAAATATATTAATATGGAAAACGAAATTAAAATTATATAATATTGTTATCGTTTAAAATGTAAAAAACTTAAAATCTGTACAATATTGTACCGATTAAAAATATTAGATAATATAGAATTTTCAAAAACTATCATATATAATTGTCCTAATAATTTAAATAATTTAAAAATTAATAAATTTTAAATTTAGGTAGGTACCTGATTGTAAAACGACTGCACCTAGGCCATACATATAGATATGTTAAATAATCACTCTGAATACATTCGATATTCGATTCTGTTCTTTTTCCCTCCCGTTGATTATTACTATTCTGCAAACTCGACTTTATACCTTCGTTGTCGTTTTCACAATGGATATATATATAAATGTATTTATCGGTACCGTATATTTGTGAGTCGACGACGAGACCACATGGGCCGAGTGAGGGGAAAGCGGATAAGTGTGTGGGGAGAGCAGCCGTTATCCTCCATACCCTGCGTGGATTATAAATTTATCACCGGGAAATTCAATTAAAACCACCGTATAATCGAATAAAATCGAGAGGGGTATCATCGAAGCGGGCGGGACTACCGCGGTATACGGGGTCAGGTATACTACGTGATAGGTTGCTCTGATAGCATTTATCCATATACAATACCCATATATAGTGTGAGAAAGAGGAAGTGGGCGAGGGAGAGGGTGATGGAGTGGGAGAGGGAGAGAGATAGATAGATAGAGAGAGAGACAC